TATTTGGTATCTTATTTCTTTCTTGAATGATTGCATCATTCCTCAAGGAAAGGCCTCCTGAAATAAAGTTTATGTGCTGTCCTGGTTCTATGTTGTAAATAATAGGAAAGGTGCAGACTCTTGTTTTTCAGGTGTGAGGCAGCTAGCTCGTTGTGTATTATCAGGCTCTTACTGTTCATCTTTTTAAAAACACCTTTTTTTGTTTCAGACAACAGCTTTTTAATTTAAGCTCTTCTGATGTTCGTAAATGGTTATTATTCCTGCTAGTCCTGACAACTGTTGTACAAGAGTTCCTACAGTTTTTATTGAGACCTCCCTCAGTGGTACTAATTTGACGAAATAATGTTATTCTAATGTTATCCTATCTTGACCAATCTGTATTATCATTTTTTTCTTGTTATTTTTGCACTGATGCCACATTTTGAGAAGTGAGAATCAACTTCCCTGCACCTAGTGGGTATATTTTGCAGGGATTAAATGGTTTGTAGATGAATTGATACAGATCTACTTGATATAGATTACATCTACCAGTGACTATTCGTTGTCACCAGCCATCCAGAGGAATAAATGCATCAAAAAAAACAGGGTTAGCTTTAGTTCATGGCTTCATGTCTCAGGAACATTACTTCTTGCTCCAGGTTAAGGTTTACCATTACTAACTCTTACATTAGTTGAACTTCTACAACATCCTGGGTGGTCACATTGTCACTCTCAGTCCCAGATAACAGATCCATAGGAAGAAGCTGTCACAATTTCTTGTCTTTCCGTAGTTGGTATTGGGACTATCTTCATCACTGTGGTTGCAGAGTACTCAATCTATTAATTAATTATTATTTACGTCTTTGTAGTCACCTCCTGACAGTTTGGAGTTTGTGGTTTTCTAACTTGTAGTTTTAGAAAATTTCAACTTGGTGAATGTGACTGCACTGAAGGCAGATGGTTGTCAGCAGTAATTATGTTTGGTATGTTTTTGCTGTAGCAGCAAATTAGTGCAGGAGTCCCACCACCTTTGTCTCAAATTTGTCATCAATTCATAACCAAGTCACAAAAGACAAAGACAGGGATTGAGACAATGAAGAACTTCCCACATGGAAAACAAGGTGGTTGGTGACATTCTACAGTTTTCACTAAAGGACAAATCATATCTGATAAGTTTGCTGGCCTTCTACAGTAGGTTTATAGCATTAGCAAGTAAAGGAAGAGCAACTGACTTCATCTACCTGGACTTGGGCAAAGCATTTGACACTGTACTGCACAACATCCTTGCCTTTAAATTGAAAATATGTGAATTGGACAGATGGACCACTCTGGTAAGGAATTTTCTGGATAGCTGCACTCAAAGAGTTGCAGTCAACAGCTCCATGTCCAAGTGGAGACCAGTAACAAATGGCAGTTCTTGGGTCAGTATAGGGACTGGTGCTGTTTAACAACTTTGTTACTGACATATACAGTGGAATTCAATGCAGGCTCAGGAAGTCTGTTGATGACACATGTGTGATGTGGTCAGCATGCTGGAGGGAAGGGATGCCATCCAAGAGAGACCTCAACTGGCTTGAGAGGTGGGCCTGCATGATCTTTATGAAGTTCATTAAGGCCCAATACAAGGCCCTGCACATGATTTGGGGCAATCCCAAACACAAATACAGACTGAGAAGAGAATGGGTTGAGAACAGCTCTGATAAGGACTTGCATATGTTGGTTGATGAGAACGTGGATTGGCAGTGTACGCTTCCAGCCTAGAAAGCCAACTGTATCCTGGGCTGCATCAAAAGGAGCTTGCCCAGCAGGGCAAGCAATTGTCTCCCTCTACTTTGCTTTGTGAGAACTCATCTGGAGTACAGCATTCGGTGCCTCGAACGCAAAAAAGACAGGGACCCACTGCAGTGAGTCCAGAGGAGAAATACAAAGATGATCAGAGGTCAGGGCACCTCTCCTATAAAGTGAGGCTAAGAGAATTGGGATTGTTCAGCGTGGGGAAGAGAAGACTCTAGGGAGACCTAGAGCTCCCTAGAGCTTTCTGGTACCTGAAGGGGCCCGCAAGAAAGATGGAGAAGGGATTTTTACAAAGGCTTGTAGTGATAGAACAAAGGCTAATGGCTTTAAACTGCAGATTGGTTGGGTGGAACTTGGAGCAACCTTGTCTGGTGGAAAGTGTTCCTGCCCATAGCAGGGGAATTTTGGAACTAGATGGTGTTTAAGGTGTTTCCTAACCCAAATTGTTCTATGATAAATTTTTTTTTGTTTGTTTCTAGTAAGCATACCTAATACTGGCATATTATTGTTATGGTTCACTTTTGATTGTAGTATGGCTAATGAGTCAAGCTTCGTAAACCTTCAATTAGAGAGATGAAGACTGAGGAGATGAGCAGCCATCCAGCTGCAGAGTGCTGCCATATATGTATGTACACTTCAATCCTAAGAAAAGTGTTTTTCCCTCCAGCATTTATGAAGCAGTCTAGCTGCTGTGTTATTAATGAGGGAATATAGGTGGCTGGCTGCTGAGCTTCTGTGTTTGTTTTTCTGAGCCAAAAACATCTAGGAGAACTGTATGTGCAAGAGCATAAAGGTAGGGAAATGCATTTTTAGCTCTGGGGTTATGATTTGCGTTAATTATTGGGTGTGGTGGTGATGGTGGTGGGGTTCCCAGATTAGTATGTTTGCATAGCTGTGTTTTTTAAATGTGTCAAGGGGGACCAGGGTGAAGATTAAGAACTTCTTTTTTTAGGGAATGTGTGTATAATTGAAAGCAAATAATCTTTTAATAGTCATCTTCAGCATAGCAAGCTGCTTTCTAAATATATTGATTGTAAATACAGCAAATATTCACGGACTCTGGTGTTGCTCACATTAAGTATTAATCCCCCTAAGCTCTGCAAATGAACAGAGGAAAAAAAAGCACTTTGTCTTCTGGGGCAGTAGGTTGCTGTGAAAAATATAGGGAATGCAGTCCCCAGCACTGTTATTTCCAGAGCTTCCAAAATTAAATCAATATAAAATGTGCATGTGTTCAAGAAAAAATGCAGCCAGAGTTGTTCCTTGACCACCTCTGTGCCCTGGTGTTGCACTGCCTTTGAGAGCAAGTCTGCTTCCCCTATACCCTTATTGTAATTAGCAGAAAGAAAATAGCTCTATGCAAGTGTGAGACAGGAGAATAGCATCCCAGCTGATTTTCAGGGTGAGGGTCTTTGTGCAGCCCTGCAGATGCCATGGTTGATTATTACAGTGTGCATGAATGTTTAGCCTGCTGTAACTGTGGATGGCTGAGATGCTGAGAAAAATCCCTTGGGGGTGTTTCTGTGGGATTTATTGACTGTTGTGTTGTACAGCTAACTGATTTCTGCGCAGACTGAGACACTGTTTTTTAGACATTGTACCCCCAGATAAATTTATTCATTCACCCATTATGTGATCTGTGTATTGTATCAGATGAGTACAATGGATGCTGTAGCAGCAGCTCGAGCCTCAAAGAATTGAATGTCTATCTTCTGAGGTTCATGACAGCAGCTTGCTTGCTACCCACTCTGTTAAAAGGATTACCTAACTGCTACACAATTGCTATGGAGACCAGATGGTCTTTTTGCCTGTTTCTTTAGACAAATTGGGTTCAGTGTTCTTTTATGAATAGACATAAGCCCCCAAAGCCCTCTTTTTGAATGTACTTTTTGCTCCCACATGAGAAATTCTGAATGCAGACTTCTGCTTGTTTGCAGTCTGTGCTTCCTGGTCTGAGGCAGGAAGTTTAGCTGGGACGGATGCAATTTGTTCAGCAGTTTGGGACTTCATGAAGTTGATACTGTCTTCTGTTTACCTTTACTTTGAGTTGCTTTTGTTCAATGCTAGTTACACTTGATATCATTAAGTTGTTGATGTAAGTGGCTAAAATTAGCATAGACAAATCAAACCTTCAAGGCAAGGGTGTCTTCATTAGCAACCTACCAAACTTTTAGAAAGAATAAACAAGTTAAACAGATGTTTTGTTTTCAAGGGTTGGCTGAAATTTATGATTTATTTTGTCAGATATCTTTCTGATAACAACCATGAATTTGGGTTTATAGGTCGCTAGAATTATCCAAAAGGATATATTTCTTCTAAATAATTTGTTTGCTGTCTTTTTTTTCCTAAGCTTGTTGATGAGACTGTTTTTAATTCTAGTTGGCAACCTTTTCCTTTGCTTTCTGTAAGATTAGCAAAGTACCTCGGTTACCACTGAATTCCTTTAAAATCTACAAAGTTTTTATGCACACTGAGCCAGAGGTCTTGTACAGCTTCCCCTACTGAATTTTTTATTCCCTATACTACTGGTATTTTCTGTGAGATTCAGCTCATATCTTTTTGAGTTACAGCCTCTGTGTGTTTAGTGAAGGATTGATACGCTTGGATGCTCAGGAAAAACTTGGGTCTTGCTACCTTCTTGTGTGCTGGGTGGTCAGTGCTGCCTTTCTATTGTTGCCTGGCAGAGCAACTTAAAATAGGTACAAACTTAAGGGGAGAGATTGCTGGGTGGTTTGTGGAGTGAGTTGTACAGTGACTTTTCACTGCAGGAGTCAGCTGGAATTGAGACATGACAAGGAAGGATAAACAGATCCTGCAGAACATGCTCTGATCAGTTTGTTTCAAATTATAGTGGATCACTGCACAGCCCAGTGATCTGTAATTGGTGTACCAAAAGCCAAATGGAAGGTGCTCAAAATGCACCCTAATTCATCAGTTAGTAGAGAAAAGGAAAGGATTAGAAAATAAAACACTTACCCTGTGACTTCATTGTATTAATTCAGTTTCAATTGTTAAAGCATGTTTATTAACACTGATGTCTGAAGTCCAAGAATCCATTTAATCAGATCTCTTTTATTCATTTGTGCCTTCTGATTATTTTTTTTGTATTTGTTTTGCTTATAGCTCAACTAAAAAATGTTTTCTATGACTGAAAGCCTGTTTTTAATTTATATTATTGTTATTATTATCATTATTATTATGATTTTGTGTTTTTTCATGTCTTTTAGAAAGCCTGCATTCATCTCCATCCTGCTTTTTTGGCAAGTGTAGCAGTTGGCTATGAAGGCAATGCAAATGATGCTAACTGATAACCATACCTACGTTTGAGAGAGAGATTCTACAGGTATGTTTCTTGTTTTATACATTGTTTTTGTCTAAAAGTGATAAGGGATGGAACTTAGGCTATTACAATATATATAAACTCTTGAAAATAAGATTCTGTAATCACAATGGATTGTTTTGACAAAATTTTGATTGAGACTGCAGTGAATTCTACTAAGAGTGATAGTCTGACAAAGTCTGACAAAGAAGCATAGCTCTGATTAAAAATGGACTTCAGTGTTCTTTCTGTAAATTTACCATAAAATCTTTCTTCTGTAAATTTACCATAAAATGGAATCCCAGGCATCTATACAGACTGGAGGGAGCGGTCCTTGAGAGCAGCCCTGTGGAGAAGGACCTGGGGGTCTTGATAGGTGAAAAACTTAACATAAGCCAGCAGTGTGCCCTTGCAGCTCAGAAGGCAAATGCTACCCTGGGCTCTATCAAAAGAGGGGTGGCCAGCAGGAACAGGGAGATGATTGTCCCTCTCTACTCTGCTCTTGTGAGGTCCCGTCTGGAGTATTGCGTCCAAGTGTGGAGACCTTAGTACAAGAAAGACTGAGAGCTGTTGGAGAGGGTCCAGAGGAGAGCCACAAAGATGATCAGGGGACTGGAGCACCTCCTTTACAAAGACAGGCTGAGGGAACTGGGCTTGTTCAGCCTGGAGAAAAGAAGGCTGCGGGGTGACCTTATTGCAGCCTTTCAGTACCTAAAGGGAGCCTACAAACAGGAGGGGAATCAACTCTTTGAAATGGTTGATAACTGCAGGACGAGTGGAAATGGTTTTAAGTTGAGGGAGGGGAGATTTGGGTTGGACGTCAGGGGGAAATTCTTTACAGAGAGAGTGGTGAGGTGCTGGAACAGGCTGCCCAGAGAGGTTGTGGATGCCCCGTCCCTGGTGGTATTCAAGGCCAGATTGGATGGGGCCCTACACAGCCTGGTCTAGTATTAAATGGGGAGGTTGGTGGCCCTGCTTGTAGCAGGGGGGTTGGAGATTCATGATCCTTGAAGTCCCTTCCTACCCTGGCCATTCTGTGATCCTGTGATTACAAACAGTGGAGATTCGCTCCAAGTAACGAGAGGAACAGGAGATCATTTTTACTTTTGAGTACACTTTATGAAGGTGCAAAATTGTAATTATCTCCCTCTGGCAGGTTGCCTGCTCCAGTGTTCACCATTCCCTGTGAATTCAGGGAAGCTGAAAACAAGCTGAAGCATGTTCTATTAAGTGAACTATCAAACCACCCCATGCTGAATGAACATAATGCAGTTTTGTGCTGTAATGGAAGATGAGGCTTTTCACTAACCAAGTTCTTTTTTCTTCCTTCCTCTTCTCCTGGACTGACTGCATTTAAACGTAAAATTGGAGTTAGCCAAACAGTTTATTGAGGCAATACTTGGTTGCATGGAAGCCAGTCAAGCTGAAACTGCAGTTTGCTTGTTTCTTGGCAGAAGGGATTTCTCTGAAAGTACAGTTCACTTTACATCTAAGTAATGATTATCTTGCTGTCTCCCTTTCATTATGCCATTGTTCTTGGGAGGCAGAGGTTTTGTAAGTTATAAGAAAAAGATGTTGCCAAGGGTGTGGGTGGAGAAAGGTGTTGACGTGATTTCAATGGGTTTAGATTCCAGCTTTAAAACAGAGGGGTAATAAATCCGGCAGAGAATAGGCTTTCTGAGGCTGCCCCTAAAATTAATGCAATTATGAATTTGATGTTGTAAATCATTTGGGTTTTTTTGAAGCAATTGTTTCATATAACTTTTTTAAAAAGGCACTTTCCTGTACGGAGAATAAATACGGTCTATTACTTTTTGCTTTGTCTTCTGGCCATTGTTTCTAATGAAACTCTTCTTAATTTAGTGGAAAATGGGGAATTCAGAAAGCCAATACAGTCTTCAGGGATCAAAAAATCATGCTACTGCTTCAACTGGTTCCAAGCAGAAGCCTTGCTCTCTAAAAATTCGCAGCATTCATGCTAAAGATGAAAAGTCTTGCTCCTTGCATGGATGGGGACATACCAACAGTGGCTCAAACTACAAGTCAAGGTCTCTTGCTAGAAGCTGCCTTTCGCACTTCAAGAGTAGTCAGCCTTATTCAGCTAGACTTGGTGACACTGTGGTGAAGGCCTCTAAAAGTAACGTCCTTGCCAAACACAGGACACACACCTCAGGGGACTACTGTCCAGGAAATAATGCAGTGTTTTTGCCTGATAATGGTTTCCACTATATTGGCCTTCAAGCTGGAAGTAATCATGCTGCTCCCCGAGAATGCAATGGGCACATACTAAAATGCTATGGAAAGAATGAGAGTCTTGCATCAACCTCCCCATCAGAGGACAGGAGAAGTCCAAAAGTACTTATTAAAACACTGGGGAAGCTGGATGGTTGCTTGAGAGTCGAATTCCACAACAGTAGCAACAGCAAAGTACCAACTGAGGAGTCCAGTGGGCCAGTCCAGCTGCTGAGGTATTCACCTACCTTGGAATCTAAGTCAAATAATCTGCTTGATGTCAGGAGGAACTCCAGTGCAGACTGTTCTTCAAACCATCGTCTGTCACCTACTGATTCAAGGCTTCGATCTAGTAAGGGAAGCTCCCTAAGCTCCGAGTCTTCATGGTATGACTCTCTCTGGGGAAATGCTGGGGATATCAATGAGTTGGATGGTCCATATTTGACTAGGAGCACTCCAGATACAAGCATTCATGCCAGTTTCCCAGCAGGCGACAAGAAGTCCTTCAATCAAAGCTCATCTCTTTCCTCACTTCGAGATCTCTATAAGGATACAAATTTGGAAAGCACTCCTCCACCTGTGATCAGGCTGTCTGATGAGTATATTGATACTCATGGTAGCCTAAGCAACCGTGTATCATTCGCCTCAGACATTGATGTTCCCTCCAGGGTAGAGCAGGGAAGTCCTGCTCATTATTCCTCTTACACGCTCCCATGTAGAAAGTCCAAGCCCCTCACTGAGGATGCATCCAAGAAGGACACATTAAAAAGCCGAATGAGGCGCATCAGTGATTGGACAGGAAGTCTCTCGAGGAAGAAAAGGAAGTTGCAGGTATGTACAAACAGTCCTGAGCCTAAGTGTCTGGAAGTTGGTTTGTAGATTTGAATCATGTTTATCTTTCTAACAGAATAGTGAATTAACAGTTTCTTATGGTAATTCATGGAATTCTGAGAAATTTTCCAACCCAGAAGTTATACATAAGTGTTAACAACAAGAACAAAAAAAAAAAAAACAAACGAAAAAGCATTTCTGTGTAAAAATTTTCCCTTCCTATTTTGTCACCTTTTTAGCTAACTTGAGTCTCTGAACTCTAATATCTCAGTGAATTAGCTTTTGTATTCATTGTGTTATTTATGGAGTAACTTGGAGCTTTTAAGCCTTCTTTTTGCTTCAAATATGAAAATTAGACTAGCATTTAAAGACCATGGAAGGAACAGTGGAAGTAAACTTGAAAAGCAGCATGTTAAGAGTACCACTGAAAACACTCTGTGTTTCTATTATATGCTTTGTCACTGACTTTGATTTCTCCATTGGCCTACCTGTAGTGAGGCAAGCAGCTGCAGGCCACTGGCCAGAGTTGCTGGCTTCTTATCTTCCTCCCATTAAGCTTTTACATGGGGTGCCCTCCTCCTTCATGTGCATGAGCTTAGCTTGCCAGATGGAGGAGCTTGAGTTGCCATCTGGCCTGCCGGCCGTTGATGTTGTGAAGAAGGAGATGGGAGGAGGGCAAGAGGGAGGGAAAGGATGTTTCCTTAGAAGAATTTAAAACTAATCCCATTAATAGGAATGTAGGATTCCTGTGGTTGGGAATGAAATTCTTGTCTCCAGTCATACGTCCCAGAGTCAGCTCTTTAAATGCCAGACTGCACCTGGACTTCTGTGTGAGTTCAAACATTGAGTTGGAGGGCAGAAACTTTTTTTTTTTTTTTATCTTCTCTAATGTCAGTCATATAGGAACAGTCACTGTGCTTCTCTAAATAAAGGATCTGCTCTGTTTTAGCAATATTGGGTTGCTGGCTGCTTTTGAAGTGTGAAGAGAGTAAGAGGAACCCTTACTTCTGCAACTTAGCTAACAGCTAAGATCATATAATGCTCTTTCTTTCCTAGGTAAGGGATAGGGAACTGGAAAGATGAAAATGAAAGCCATGTATTTGAGCCACTGCTTTGTGAGTTGATGCTCATGTATTTTATCAGATTTTGTCTTTTCACCTTCTTACTCAGCTGTGAAAGAGAAAGCAGAAAAAAAAATGGAATCAGTAAAGTGGGCCCCAGTGCTTTCTGCCAGGATTCTTCACTGATTTTGACATCTGCAGCTATTCTGGATTTTATAGCCTGGCTTTACATATGATCTCTGCATCCCAGACCTTTGCCATGTATTACTTAGTTATGACATTTTCAGAATGGTATTTGTGATGCAGGATTCATAGCTGCCTTGAATTCACTGTGCAGTGAGCTTACTTTAGGCACAGAGAAAAAATTCTGCTAGTGAGATTGCATCAAACTCAGATTTGATTCTGATAGATGGAAGTTGGCTCCAATTCTGTAAATGATGATTTCTTAGAAAAAGGTATAGGAAATGGTTAGTCATCGATTTTTATCAGACAAGTATCCAACTTCAGGCATGACAAAAAGCAGGCAGCAAGTGCTTTATGATTTTCCCTCATTGTGAGGTTTGGTCAGTTTCTTTCTGCTTCACATGTTTTGAATAACCTGTGATCTCTCTGGAGCGCTGCTGTGTTTGTAGTATAGTGATGACTGTATTCTCACCAGCTCCTTTGACTCAAAAGGGCAAAAGCACTGTGCATGATTCTGCTGGCAGCTGGTTAGTCCCAGTCAGTAGGACTGTTCGTCACCGTGATTACAGCCTTTCTACTTTGCTCTGAACATTGTGTCCCTTCCTCGTTACGTTGCTGTGAGTCACTTAGGCTGAGAGTAAGTGAAAGCTGGAGTATATCCTTATTGGTGCCAGAGCACTGGTACTTGGGTGGGTGGGTGGGCCCTTCTGCCAAGCCTGCTGCAGCATGAGGGCTAAAGGCTAGAAAGGACAATGAGGGCAGTTGCAACGAGCCCCCTGCTGTCAAAAGGGCAGCGGAATATAACCTCCTTCATAACTGGACCAATTTCAGCCAAGAATCTGGTATGCTTTTACCCCACTTGAAGCCCATTTCCAAACCCTCTTACTCAGATGCATGGAACTTCTCATCTAATTTGCAGACTAAATATAGTCCCAGCCAGTCTGTTTCTGATGCCAGTATTGTCCATTATGCTAATTATCCTTCCTTGTTATTTAATCTGTTACAATTTATTTAAAGGGAGAAATTGTATCTCCTCTTGGCCCACCTTTTCTGGGCTGTGCAGACTGTCTTTGGTCCCCTGTCTTAAGATAGGAAGTCTTTCTTTTTTGTTCTGGCACCCTTTCTCTGCACCTGTTTTGAATCATTCATAACCAGATTCAGATATGGGATATTCCAGATGAGCCCTTGGCTGTGTCCTGTCCGGTGAGGTGGATGCTTCCTTATTGGCTTGATCTGATACTTGATCTGTTATACCCTGGAACTGAGTTTGCCTTTCTAATTATCATCTCATGTCAAAGACTTGCTGTTGTTCTGTTTTGTAGCCCAGCTTTCTTTGTAGGATGGTATCCTCATGCACTGCTTTTGTACATCGCTGGTGCTGTACTGCATGACACATCCTCACTGATTTAATTCTTTATGGAACAGCACTGGGAAGATGCTGTATCATGATACATTTTAAGAGAATCATAGGTGTGTGTTGAGCATGTGGGATGCGTGGACAGGACCTAGGCAGACTTGCTGCAGTCAGTTCCTTCTAACAATCATGGTGCAAGAACTGCCCTTGTGTCTGTCTGTATAACATGTAGAGAAAGGGCTGATGCTGTATGAAGTAAAAAAAATGAGCCACCAGAAACTTCTGTGCAGATAGGCTTTTGCATGAAGTAGTCTTTTTAGAAGAATCATTTCTGAAATGCACTGGCTTTTATAAGTGTGAGCATGAAGCTTGATGGTGTAAAGAGAGTTTAAAAGAAAAGTGCACTGAGGTAAACTCTTTATTTGGCTGGAAAGCAGGCATTAAGTCCCACTTTTTGCTTGAATCTTAATACATTTAACAGCCTGCATTACTTCCTGCCTTGTTCCTTACAGCTAATTATTACATGCGTCACTTTGTCTAATTAGTATCTTAGTTATCCTCTTTATCTTTTGCTTTATCTGCAATTAATCCAGGATATATCTCAGACATTAAGAGATCTGCTTGAATGCAGCTGCACAGATACAGTGGGAATTTTCTATCATCAGGTACAACAATGGGAAAAAGAGCAGGGTAAGCACCATGAGCAACAGCGACCAGATACTGCCACAGTGACAGCTTCCCTGGGGACCAGTAGAGATTGTGTGACACTGCCACTGCTGCTCATTTTTAGCACATACAAGTTATGTTGTCATGGCAAAATGTATATAATCCCAGCGCTTCATCCATCATGCATCCTTTCTGAGAAAACTTCAGATGTGCTTGGTGGCTGTTGGTGGTTAGGTTGTTCCTTACTTCTCTTTCCTCGGTGTGTGTTGTTCCAGTAGTGGCCCTTCATAGAAATCATCTTCTTATATGTGCTTTTTTCTCTGCTTTTCAAATAAGTGATTTAGGACTGAAATAAATAGATATGCTTCATAAAGTGTACATTAATATTTTCTGGAGGACAGTTTCTGGCAAATAAATAGTCAAACACAAAATTTTGGTACATATGTTCAGTAACAGTAATTAAAAAGTAGGTGGAGAAAGCTTTCCATTCCCACGGAACTGCACATGGCTGGTACAGTTCTGTGATCCATCTTGTACAGTTGTTCTGTGGGCTTAAACACATTACAGATGTGGTTCCACTCCCCCCTCAACCATCTCTCAGCTTGCCTGTGGAAAATTGTTTACAGTCACTGTTGCCTTGGATGTATTCATCTATTCTCACGGGCGCCAATGAAAAAGGGTACATATCTTGTCAAGCTGTATATATAGGAAAATGCATATCCTTTCATTGAATTTCAGGATTTTTCCTGCAGGCGTATTTGGCAAAACTGTTGATGTTCAGTGAGCTCCACTCTAACACTGATGAAAGCTTTGCCACAGGGTTTGAGAGAAGTGCTGCCGTACTGTGAGAATTCGATCTTTGTGGGTGGGCAGGGTGATCTGTATAGCCAGACTTGAAGCTAAACATACTGTAAAGGGTCATAGTTTTCAGCTGAGTGTGGCTTTTGGGGTGCCATCAGCAGCAGTGTCCTGCAGCCTGACAGGTGGCTTGCCTTGTGAGACTTGCACCTGGGTGTGGGCTCACCGTGACTCCTGATTGCATGTGGAGGCCATTCTACCATCAAAACACAACGTTGCTTGTTTGAGAGCTTCAAGTGGAAAGCAAAGGAAAAAATAGTAGTTGCTTTCAAAACTTCTGGTGAAAGCAGATTGTGGAAGACCAAGGGTTATTTACTTGATCTGCAAGCAAATAAATGCAGCTATAGAAGTAGTCTAAACTTAGAAGTATAATAGCTTTATTTTTATGAGAGTAAATAGCTTCACATCTTTGATTTTTGTAACCATCTATTCTTTTGTTTTCATTCACACATTTCAAGCAACAGTCTCAAATTTTCTCTAGAGCAAAAGGCAGCAAAATTTTTGTGTTATGTCCTCTTAAATCTTAAAATTAATTTTAAATACCATCAGTAATGTAAGTTGGAAGCATAACAGATGGCTTTGGTGTGCCCCTCCTTTGCACGATAAGAAACCCCTGACCACCTGAGAGAGGTGGGAGTGAGTAGCTTGTTATTGGGAAAGGCTTGAGACAGGCAAAGCCTAAGCTGCCAGCATGATCCCACTTAGATAGTCAGAAGCAGGAGTTGGACATGCATTAATGGTCATATAGCAAGGCATGGGGATGCCATCAGTCTCAATTATTTCAAATTAGTTTGGCCAGCCTCTCAGTGCAGGGACAAACTAACAGTGCAGTTTGGGAAAAGGCCTGTGGGTGCTTGATGAGATAGTCAAGGTCCCTTGGGGTTTCCAGCAAGTCAGAAAATACACACCTCTGCAGTTTGGAAACTGGATTCTTGCCAGTCTGCAAGCCTGCCTGCCTTTTTTTTTTTTTTAAACTGTATATTGGATTAGATTTTCATTAATCAATACTAACAGGCTTAAAATATTTTAAACTTTTGACTTTTTTTTTTGGCTGTTGTTGTTGTTGGTGACAGAGAGAAAACAGATAAAATCGATTCTGATATGCTTGAAGGTAAAGGTAGCTGCCTTGCATTTACAGGGTCACCAAAGCATTGAAAGCCCTGTAATAAAGCATCGTGCTGTGGTGTTATTCCTGGTTGCACTCAGACTTACTGGTGACTTATTTCTGGCAACTTCCTTTAATATGCAGGAACCCAAATGTAAAGATGGGGGCGAATACTTTGACAGCAGAATGGACAACTTCAGCACAGACACGCTGGCACCATCACAGCAGCCTACTTTGTTGTGGTCACCCAGCTCCAGTCACATCCTGTCCCAGAGAAGTGAGTCCACCAATGCAGTCAGCAGTGATGCCCTGAGGCAGAACATTTATGAAAACTTCATGCGAGAGCTGGAGATGAGCAGGACAAACCTGGAGAACACTGAGACCTCATCAGAAACAGAGGACTCCAGCAGCGAGTCCCTCAGCTCCTTGGAGCAACTGGATTTGTTGTATGAGAAGGAGCAAGGAGTGGTGCGCAAAGCAGGGTGGCTGTTCTTCAAACCGTTGGTGACCCTGCAGAAAGAGAAGAAGCTGGAGCTGGTCACACGGCGAAAGTGGAAGCAGTACTGGGTAACACTCAAAGGTAAACTGCCGTGTTTCCCCTCTGGCTTGGCAGCACCAATTATTTCCATTGTGTCTGCACAGCTTTTCCCACGTGACGATTCCTATTAGCAATTCCTGTAACTTAATGTAGTCTACTCTCACACATGAAGTGAAGCATGTGTCAAACCAGCCCACTAAATCAAGATGGTGCTCGTGTATTTAGTACAGCATGTGCACTTGCATTTCTTACCGTAGCAGGCATTGTTTCACCTGACTTCCCAGTTCTTGCATTTAAATGTAATTGGGGTTTTAGAAGATGCTTTGGGATATTTGGAGGTCAAAGACTGAATTGAACCAAAACTGGTAAAAATAGAAAAGTTACATCTCTCTATCAGAGGAAGTCAAAAGGATTAAAAGGTCCCTGATGTCTGATGGTCCCTGGCTCAGGCACAATGTTTCCTTGGATCTGTTATAAAGTTTACTTTAAGTTGAGGTAATTTAAGGTGAAAACAGTTGGCTTGTTGCCAGGTGGCAAGTTAACAAAGAGGTCAGTACCTCCGTGCTGAGGCATTTGCACTGACAAACATTTACATTCAGGGCAGAAGCAGTAGCAGCAGCAGGGGGGAAAGACTGCAATGCCCAAAGCTCAGCAAGGGATGCTTGCTTCTGTGGTTGCAGCAATTTCCAGGGCTCCTCAGCTTCCCTTCTTTCTGCAGATGGTCTTTCCCATGGCCTGCTCTGTATTGCTGAGCACTTTTGCCTTTTAGAATGCTTGCCCTTCCCATCTCCCCCCTCTTTGCTTGCTGTGGGAATGCAATCCACTTAACAGAGGCTGCTGCCTGTGGGCTGCTGTGTGATTACTGTGTTTAGCCCTGCACTAGCAGCGTGTGTTGATAGCTCAGAGTAATGGAGCAGGTAGGTGTGCTGCAAGAAGTGTACGGGTGTCAGAAAGTGTGAGAAGGAAAATAACATCTATTGTGGGGAGGAAAAGGAATTTACTGTGAGAGTTCACAGGCTTTTTTTTTTTTTCTCTTCCTTTTTTTTGAATTGTATCTGAAAGATTTGCCTTTCAGTAGGATGTAGTGCTAAGTTAATGAGTGAGGAAATGATCAAACTTAATGATTTCCTAGCGTATCTTGGACTGGAGGAGAGAAAATAACAACTTTCCCACAGGTTGCCCTTTTCAAAATTTTGCATGGGTGTAGACCAAAGAAAAATGAACATCAAATAGCAAGTGCGGAGAGTGTTACCCTTGATAGTACTGATTTGAAGGAAGCAAACTTGCAAGAATGTAGCAATTCTGCCTTACAATTCAGAGACCTGTTATCAAAGGATCAAAATGTAGGCAGTCTTAACAGCTTAAATTACTTACACTGATCATCAGGTAGCATGATTCATGCTTACAGGCAGTATATACAAAGGGAAAAACAATATCTGAATGCCACTCTTTTATTATATGTTTGTGTTTAGGAGTGCAAATATGAGTTTTATCTGCCTCCTCTAAAACTCTAGCAGTTTCTTAACAAATCTGTCAAACGCAGAAAGTGTAATATATTTTACTAGTTGTCTGTATGTTTTTAGGATAATGAAGTGCTCTGGGAAGGAAGTCAGGCGCTCTGTGTTTGGTTCCTTGCTATGCATTTGGCTTACTGGTTACCTTGAATAAGTCACTTCCCTTCTTGCTACCTGCATTTACCCAGCCATAACAAGGAAATACTAAAATTATTTGGAAAAAGCTTTATTAGCTTCTAACATTATAACTATTCAATATAATGCTTTCTTCTTAAGATGAGTGATATGGTTGCACTCATGATGCAGAATCTCCTCCACTTTGCTAACAGTTTTAAATACATATTTCTCATTTCCTTGATCTCATACCTTTATTGTCCTGTAGAGAGTTCTGGTGCCAAAATAAACTTGCCTGTCTGGATATCAAGGCGTAGTTCTGTTTTCATAATATACTGCATCAAGATCAAGTCTCTTGCTTTAGTTTTCCCTGATGCAGCACTTTGACTAAATCTGTATTTAATTTGTTCTTGAAATCTAAGTAGACAAGATATTTTAAAATATGACTTAAAATAGCCACATATGCAAATGGAGAGCAGTGTGTTTCTTTGCACTCTGGTGAGATGTGTTAAACTGTAAATACACAGAAGGCAAATAACCATTTGTTGTGTGCCAGACTTCAAAGCAGATGTGTCCTGAGACCTTTGCTTCACTTTCAGGGCCATCATGACCTATGTTTGAATAATAACATGAGGATCTCTCTTTCCCATCTGTCTTGTCTAATTAATTTATTTTAATGAGGGAAATTGCTTTCCAACTGCACTTCCCCTTCAGTTCACATTTTGATGAAAATACTTGAACTATAATCAGTCCCAGTGGCTCTCTTAGGATTCATGAAACCAGCTAATGCTTCACCACAAGATATATCTTGAGTGCCATACACCTTAACACACATGCATGCTCTTCAACTATTATTTACTTGTTTGGTTTTGTACATGTAAGCTTCCACAATAAAAGGCAACATATCTTTAGTTACCTTTCTGATAATTTGTAGGGGGAAATGTGGAAGTTTTAAATAGAACTAATTTGCACTTTCCTAAAATACAAAAGTGGAGGTGGTTGTACAGTGTTGCTGCTGAAGAGTGCAAGAGGAAACTTTGGCTTGTTGATTTTGTTTGTCCTGTAATGGTGAAACTCCTAAAGAAGTGGTATGTCTGATATGCAGTGTAACAAGCCACATCCTTCTGTTCCTACTGCAGAGATGTCCAGCTGTCTCTATTGTAAAGGAGAGCAAGTGTGAGTGGGTAACGGAAAAGGATAGGAGCAGCTCTGTAAGATTTGTTCCTATCCTGAATATTCTGCTAGATGCTCTGGGCAGCAGTAGGAAAAGATGCATTTAGGTAGTGCATAGGAATTGCTATTAATTGAATGCCTTCCTTTTAAAACCTTCCAATTGTCAACTGATTTGCTCAGTAACCTGTGATTTCCATTTCTCCTGTAACTGGTTTACATTCAGCGGCACTGGAGAATGTGATGAGGTTCATCTCGTTGACTTCTTATTATCATATACTCTGTATTTGGTCTGTGAGAAAAAGAGTGGGCTCTTAACTTCTCAAAACAGATATGCCCCACAAACCCAAGCAGGCAAATCATTTTACTTAATCAGGCAGAAGGACCCCCAAAATCAAGGATTTTGATTCTGATTCCAGATCTAACTTTTGAGTAACCGCTACCTCAAAATTACATGAATTTGAATGATGTGTTTGGGATTTTTAGTACAATGTTAAGTGTACCAAAGTTAGAGAAATGTTAAAACAAAGTTTGATGTCTGGTTTTAACTATTATAAATGCATGTATAAAGGAAACATTTCTATTTTGCAGGTTTTGCAACATTCCCTTTATACAAACTACTGAAGTACCTAGGTAGATATGCCAAAGTTATATGCCTAAGTGTATGCCTTCTGTTGTGTTGTTTCTTTGATTTGAAGAAAAAAAAAAAAAAAAAACAACCAAGAAAAAGCAGACCAGAGAGATAACAATGGTGTAGCCCTAACAAACTTAATCCTTATACTGGCTGAGTTTCAAGTTATCTACTGAATATGTATAGGGGCTACAACAGTAATATATTCATGGATTTCTGGTCCCTAGGGGACCATTGTGGTCATTTAGTCTGAGACAATACATAATGTGGCTGTAAGTCTTTAAATTAATTCCTGATTGAATCGAAGCATATCTTTTAGAAAAGGTTTTCCTTGCTGGAAAATCCACCAACAGTCTCAGAGTTTTCTAACTGCTTAGGTAATTTTCAAATTATATTTATAGTATCTCTTTTTATTTCTTCCAGGTTAAGCATCCAGCCATAGTCTAGTGTTAATTAGTTTTTCAATTATAAAAAACAAACAGCATCAACTCCTTTAGTATTAACCTTTATGTTTCACAGGAATGAGAGTGAGGTGGATTTACTCCTTTTCTCTAGATGCAGAAATGGGTTAAGAAATTCTTCAGAAATCCAAGATAATTTTAAACAAGATTATTTAGTACCTCAGACTGTGGCTGCCTGGGCATGTAAATCGGTACATCTCAGAGGACAGTGGGCTGTAATGCACGGCAGCAATAAATGGCTGGCAAGGAACAGAGGAGCGGCAGGCAGCTTTTACGCCAGCTTCACTGCCAAAGGCAATGTAATCATACTTCTGGGTACTGGGACCAAGGCTGCTCTTCTCCTCCTTCTCTTTGCATTCATGATTGTCAAGAATGAAATTTATTTTCTGGATGTACATCTCACATCTTACATATTACTCTACCAATGAGAATGAACATGATCATAGTCAATCCTTTTAAGCTGTTTTAAATTATCCAGATAATGTTCATGGTCTAAGTTGACAGTTTTCAGGTAGATTGAAGGAAGTCCAATTTAAATTTGAGATGTTTATTCACTTTGCATGTTTTTGGAAGACAAATGTTATTGCAAATCTTTTGTCTGCAACTACAAAGGTTATTGAGAGAGAGCTGATTCTTTTAAATAATATCTGAACACACAAGCTGATTGAACTAAGCAGGAATTTTTCTACAGGCTTAAATATTTTAATAGGCTGAGTTTACTGAGCTATCCTGTTCTTTTTGTTTGTTTATTTTTTAAGTCCTGCATATTCGTTGCATCTCTATTGGACGTCAGTTCTAAATTTACATTGGCAATTTCAATATTAACTTTTCCTATTTCCCAGTTTTAAGGATCCCACTCATTTTTCTAGCTCAAAAGAGGGGAACTAACATTCTCTGTCATTGGGAATTTTAATTCATGGAAGCATTAATCTAAGAGAACTTGAACAAAAGATCCAGAGCTTGATTTTCTCTTCACATTTCTTGTCCCTTTGAACTCAAAAGGTTGTACTCTGCTGTTCTATGAGACCTATGGAAGGAATTCAATGGAGCAGAGTAGTTTGCCTCGATACGCTCTGTTTGCTGAAGACAGTATAGTCCAGTCTGTTCCAGAACATCCCAAGAAAGAAAATGTGTTCTGTCTCAGCAATTCTTTTGGAGATGTCTACCTATTCCAGGTAACAGAATGCATACATAACTTTCTAATTATTTCCATTATATGTTGTGTCTGTGAGTATGCACTTACACGTGTGATTCTGTATACATACACATACAGTCTCATGTCTGTGACTTAAAAATGATACTATAGTTACATTATTACAGTATAGTGTTATAGTATTGATGTAAGTGTACGATACTACTTCAAGGGTACAATATTACACCAGTTGACTCAGCCAGTTACAGTTCAAAAATAAAGAGAACATAGATCACAAACACACAAGATAATTCTGATTGATTATTACAGGCTTCCAGAAAATCAAGTGTCATTGCAAATGTTTTCACATCTATCAGCATTGTGCCTTCACAGAATGATGGACACAACTCTGACTCTGCTGGCCTCAGAGAATGTCTCAGTTGAGTGAAGCATTCAAAAAGAAGGTTAAAAATAGTTCTTGGCTGCTTAACTGCAGTACTGAAAATATTAATAAAGAACAGTATTATGTGGAACCGCGTGCATAAAAACATGTTGATTCATAGGCACACTTGTAAACATTTCTGGAGACACTTTGTGCAGATGTATTCTCTTAACTTTGCTGTGCTTTGCTACACTAATTTGGCATTTTTAAAGTAAGCAAACTCCTCTTCTCCAAAATTAACTTTTAAAATCATCCCTGTTGCTATGTTACCTCTGCAAGAGGACATTTATTTTTGAAATTTGTCAACTTTCGAGGGCTAAAGAATGCAAGTCACATCTTACCCACAGCTCGTGTGCTCTGTTGTGCTCCCAGAGCCCTCAGACCTAGAAGGTCTAAGAAGCAGAAGCTGGAGTTTGGATACAAGTCATGACAGTGTGGAAAAAGCTTCTTTGTTTGTGTAGCTTTAAAACCTTACTTGAGAAGTTTTGAGAAAAAAACACTTCAGGTCTCAGGGAAACCATGGAAGAATTAATGTCCTAGAGCTGCAGATTCATTTTGATTTTCTTTTTCCTGGTTGTAATTTTGCACTGTTGGTTTGTTCCACAGGCAACAAGTCAGACAGATCTGGAAAACTGGGTTACTGCCATACATTCAGCCTGTGCTTCCCTCTTTGCAAAGAAACTTGGGAAGGAGGACACAGTTCGGCTACTGAAAAATCAGACCAAGAGTCTCTTCCAGAAGATTGATATGGACAGCAAGATGAAGAAGATGGCAGAGTTGCAGCTCTCAATTGTTAGTGATCCAAAAAACAGGAAGGCGATAGAGAATCAGGTACTGGAAATAGTGCAGCTTGTTTCTGCTACAAAGTATTATTGTGGGAGAGCATTTGTCATAGTTTTTAGCTTTGGTCTCTGACTGTTAATGCTTTGTAGGCCTGAAAGCAATTGTTGTGGACATAGTTGGCAAGATATGGTAGTTGTAATTATTGCCAAGTATCTACAGCAATCCAGAGCAGCTCAGGAAGTAGACCGGCACTCAAAACTGATGATCAGACTGGTCTGTTTTATGAGCACAAAGGTATTTCTTTTCTCTTCTGGAAAAATGTGATTAATTTTCACTGCTTTGTTTTATGATACACTTAGATGCTAATAATATCTAGCTATTATATAGCATACCACAGGATCTACAGTATGTTCTGTGAATAATTTAATTTATTATTGAACTGCAGGAAAGATTTTAGAGTAGGTACATAGCAATATATTTCTGCACCTTAAGATGTGATATGACATATGCTCTATCCAAATAAAATTGTAAGAAGGTTTAAAGGCAGACAAAACCATATGCTTCAGCTGAAATTTAGCCATTACTAAAAGTCCAGGATCCTCTAGGCTTCTTGAAAATCCATACAGGAGTTCAAAGGAGAACTAGAAGTCAAGACCAGCATTTATCTCGAATGGAAAAGCACTTCCATGAATACCACTGACAGCCTCTGGAGCATTATTCCCTTATCAACTCAAAGAAAAAGGGAACTGTTTGTCACTAGCAGCACTTCCTGGTTTTGTGCTAGGAATTTTTTGTATCAGTATAAGCTCAGACCCATCGGTGTTTAGCTTGGGATTTTGGCTGTCCTACAGCCAAGATTTTTACACTTGACGGAACAGTTAATATGTTTGCATCCATACTTGCATCTAGGTTACTTTTGTTTCATTGCAGCAAGAACTGGTCTGAATCATCAGTTGCTTCTTCCTGCAAATAGTTTCTGAATGCCTAATGTGTAGTTTTGATCGTATTTTCTTATGGTGGTGGTGGAAATGACTGAATCTTACTATAGCAGCAGCTTAATGCTGAAGAAACTTCATCACTATGGTTTATTTCTAAAAGGAAAACTGGAGTACCTCTCCATCCTCCTGTTGAAATTTAGTTTTCGTAGTCCATGTGCACCTTGGTATTTCAGCTAAGCCATGCTTAAGACAAACAGTGTTAGCAGACTGATGAATAGCTAGAACTGTTCTTCATGTAAAATGGTCACATTTTTGTCTGTGCAGTCATGCATAGACATAAAGCCTTTCTCTACTCTTAGTTTTCAGCAAACAAACCAGGAATCACTCCAGTGCCACCTAATGGAATTACATCTTGAGATGTTGACATATTGCCTATACCAGCAGCTGTATAGGCAACAACTGGCAAATGATGATGTGTCTCTCAGTGTCTTGGTAAAAGCTTCGCTGCTTACAGCCTTTTGTGGTGATGTTCATAAGCTCATATGTACTTTCCATGTCCAGAGCCTATTGGGGTGAATGGAGGATGAGCAAGGCATCCTTTTATTGCTGTAGGTTTTGAGACATAGAAAAGTATATAGATTTCTAGAGATTCTCTAGTGCTTAATATGGCCTCATCATGTGTAACACACTGAAGAAAAATCTTTTTTTATGCTCACTGATTCACTAGATACTGAAGCTAGTTTATTTAGAGTCAGGTGAACTTTACTAATGATGGTCTCTTTATTTCTGCTAATTAGGTGTTCTGTCCTTGAACTGCCATTGTTTTCCATTTCTGATCCTGGAAAGAGTTGGCTGTATTCTGCTATAACTGAAATCCATCACTGGGGTTGCAGAAGATTTATTTCTGCTAATCTTCTGTCTATTAATTTCTCAAAATGTTGACTGAGGGCATACTAGTGAGACAAAGAGTGAAATGAGTCATCTGCAAACATCCACTAGTTAACAAACAGCAAATTCACAGTGAACCTTTTCTTCAGTCTGAAACCCTTTGATCTCTATAAAATTTCTCCTTACAGCTGTTTTAAGTTTTGTCAGCAAGATCACTTCAGAGAAAAGTCAGTAGATAACTGGGTTTCCTGATCTTTTGATTTAATGTCTCAGTGATGGGCTTCTGGAAAAACAAACAAACAAACAAAAAATCCAAGAAAATCTTTAATATATTTAGTGAGTAAGCATTCTTAATATACTTATTACGCTTACAATTCTGAAAAAGCATTATTCATTGGTGAAAAGTTTGCATATATGTAGCTTAATTGTTTTGAACTGGAATCGTTCAGTTATCTTTTGTCCACTTTTAGACACAAGCCACTTTTATACAAGAGGACTATAAATATTCTCTATGTTTGGTGGTGTTTTCAATCATGTAGGAGTTGAGTGAAGTATATCATACACGTCCTCTTCCAGATAACTTTACTTTTGATAGGTTCTGGGAAGTCAAAGAAAATACTGCAATTGACTGTAGGGGGATCACCATGTTTTTTTTTTTTTTTTTAATGAAGATGAGACACATTTATTTTCACTGGAGAGTTATCTTAGAAATGGTGATTTCTAAATCGTTTGTCTTTTTCCTTCCTATTCCTTAGAACAACCACTCAACTTCAACTTTCTTTTTTTTTTTTTCCCCACATTTATATTGATTTAAAATTAATACTTCTCTACTGAAGACTTAATAAAACACAAGGCTTTACAAGCATGCAACATCATCTTTTGTTTCACAGATACCATCACCTGAAAGGCAATTACAGTAAGGAAATCTGGACTTCTAAAATTGTTGTATGTACTTAAATGTACATACAGATTTATTTTTGGTGTCTTAGAAACTTGATGCTATCAAACTGGCTAAGAAATGTCTTCAGACCTGCAGCTTAGATCAGGGATTCCCTCTGTCTGGGTTTACCAGCCCAAAAATAATAATCAGAGAAACGTAGGTGTTGGAAGGGACCTCCAGAGATCATCGAGTCCTACCCCCCTGCCAAAGCAGGTTCCCTACAGTAGGTCGCACAGGTAGGCATCCAGGCAGGTCTTGAACATCTCCAGAGA